CAGCTGACCTGACAGTCCATTATTTCAAGGGGTGCAAGCGTGCTGTTGTGTGGTGTGTGTTTTTATTTTTTTTTTATTTTTTTAGTGTTCATCTAGTGTCTTCTTATGCTAACCCTAACCCTAACCCTAACACTAACCCTAACCCTAAACTTTACTGTAGACAAATCGCGAGAAACTAAAACCTGAACACCCTAGAATTTATTGGGAATGTCTCCTGTGACTTTGTCGTGACGTCAGGGGTAAGTTATAAATTAAGTACCCCTGTCTGTTCTTTAAGTTTTTAATGAATATCATGTATAGGGTCAAGAAAAAGATGGTTGGGGGTGTCAAAATCCAACTTCAGAAACGCATTGTGACTTTAACAAAAGCAGTGCGCTTAACAAAGGATGGGACACTACATGTAACTCCTTTTTTTCGCCACTTTACAGCATACGCCGGTTTTATGGTATAAGCTTTTAGGAAAAGATTCATGTTATTTCAAATGTATTTTATATTTAGGTAAAGTAAAAAGTAAAGGACAATTTTTCCATGCCTTCAAGCGTTCTGGCTATATAGAGCCTGACCTCAATTTTATAGGACAATCGGCACTCGGTGGGTGGTGTGGTCAGCATCACGCCGTCCGCCTTTACTTCCCAGGATTAAACTTGGTACCCACTGAAGTCTGGGTAGAAGTGGGAACCAAGAACGTTTTTGGAGGGAAAAAAGCGGTTCGGTCACAGGCAAGCATTTAGCCGCTACAACACCATGTCTCCCATCATTACATTTATTTGTTATTGAGCATAATATTGTAAATATTATTATCATTATCATCATCATCATGACGAAAATTATCCCCATCATCATCATTAATCGATTGAACAAACCCTAGGCCCTATGATTCCTACCACCCCCCCCCCCCCCATTCTACTTCCACCCCCTACCCTCACCACGAACACCTGTAATGAGGGTTGAGTCCTCCACAAGGAACCACAAATATTTTCTTTGTGTCGGTAAGCCTGGGCCCATTGGGGGCACATCAGCAACGCAGCAGAGTAAACAGCTAGCCATGTTGTGTGTGTGTGTGTATGTGTGTGTGTGTGTGTAGTAAGTATCCAGAAGCCATGAGTTGTTAACCCTTAGGCTCGGTATTATGGATATCGCAACCTTTCGGCCTTGATTCCATTGTAAATACCGTAAATCTGGGAGAAATGTGGCTTTTCTGCCTACCCCCGGGAGTGAACCCGGACAACAAGGAGTTTGTCACTCGGTCGCCGCACAGTCAGGTTTAACCAACTGTGCTAGCGAGCCGGGCAACAGCTAGCCATAGAATTGAAAGTGGAAATGATCGAGCCTCATTCACGACAACTGCAATCAATAAGGATTTCTATCTTCCACCAGCTGACGTCGTGGAGACAATTGCTTTCATCAACATCACCCCTGGAATCAAGAATGAGACCGTTTTTGATGTCCCAGCGCAATGCAAGAAGGTGAGTATTCTCTTGCATCACAGTCTTGCCTCACTCTCTTGCCTCACTCTCTTGCCTCACACTCTTGCCTCACACTCTTGCCTCACACTCTTGCCTCACACTCTTGCCTCACACTCTTGCCTGACACTCTTGCCTCACACTCTTGCCTCACTCTCTTGCCTCACACTCTTGCCTCACAGTCTTGCCTCACACTCTTGCCTCACTCTCTTGCCTCACACTCTTGCCTCACAGTCTTGCCTCACACTCTTGCCTCACAGTCTTGCCTCACTCTCTTGCCTCACACTCTTGCCTGACACTCTTGCCTGACACTCTTGCCTCACACTCTTGCCTGACACTCTTGCCTCACACTCTTGCCTGACACTCTTGCCTCACACTCTTGCCTGACACTCTTGCCTCACACTCTTGCCTGACACTCTTGCCTCACACTCTTGCCTCACACTCTTGCCACACACTCTTGCCTCACACTCTTGCCTAACACTCTTGCCTCACACTCTTGCCTCACAATCTTGCCTCACACTCTTGCCTCACACTCTTGCCTGACACTCTTGCCTCACACTCTTGCCTGACACTCTTGCCTCACACTCTTGCCTCACAGTCTTGCCTCACACTCTTGCCTCACACTCTTGCCTGACACTCTTGCCTGACACTCTTGCCTCACACTCTTGCCTGACACTCTTGCCTGACACTCTTGCCTCACACTCTTGCCTCACACTCTTGCCTGACACTCTTGCCTGACACTCTTGCCTGACACTCTTGCCTGACACTCTTGCCTCACACTCTTGCCTGACACTCTTGCCTCACACTCTTGCCTCACTCTCTTGCCTCACACTCTTGCCTGACACTCTTGCCTGACACTCTTGCCTGACACTCTTGCCTCACACTCTTGCCTGACACTCTTGCCTGACACTCTTGCCTCACACTCTTGCCTCACTCTCTTGCCTCACAGTCTTGCCTCACTCTCTTGCCTCACACTCTTGCCTCACAGTCTTGCCTCACACTCTTGCCTCACACTCTTGCCTCACAGTCTTGCCTCACACTCTTGCCTCACAGTCTTGCCTCACAGTCTTGCCTCACACTCTTGCCTCACAGTCTCTCCTCACACTCTTGCCTCACACTCTAGCTTCACACTCTTGACTTACACTCTTGCCTCACACTCTTGCCTCACACTCTTGCCTCACACTCTTGCCTAACACTCTTGCCTAACACTCTTGCCTCACAATCTTGCTCACACTCTTGCCTCACACTCTTGCCTCACACTCTTGCCTCACACTCTTGCCTCACACTCTTGCCTCACACTCTTGCCTCAAACTCTTGCCTCACAGTCTTGCCTCACAGTCTTGCCTCACACTCTTGCCTCACACTCTTGCCTCACACTCTTGCCTCACACTCTTGCCTCACACTCTTGCATCACAGTCTTGCCTCACTCTCTTGCCTCACACTCTTGCCTCACACTCTTGCCTCACACTCTTGCCTCACACTCTTGCCTCACACTCTTGCCTCACACTCTTGCCTCACACTCTTGCCTCACACTCTTGCCTCACACTCTTGCCTCACAGTCTTGCCTCACAGTCTTGCCTCACAGTCTTGCCTCACAGTCTTGCCTCACAGTCTTGCCTCACACTCTTGCCTCACAGTCTCTCCTCACACTCTTGCCTCACACTCTAGCTTCACACTCTTGACTTACACTCTTGCCTCACACTCTTGCCTCACACTCTTGCCTCACACTCTTGCCTAACACTCTTGCCTAACACTCTTGCCTCACAATCTTGCTCACACTCTTGCCTCACACTCTTGCCTCACACTCTTGCCTCACACTCTTGCCTCACACTCTTGCCTCACACTCTTGCCTCAAACTCTTGCCTCACAGTCTTGCCTCACAGTCTTGCCTCACACTCTTGCCTCACACTCTTGCCTCACACTCTTGCCTCACACTCTTGCCTCACACTCTTGCCTCACACTCTTGCCTCACACTCTTGCCTCACACTCTTGCCTCACACTCTTGCCTCACACTCTTGCCTCACACTCTTGCCTCACACTCTTGCCTCACACTCTTGCCTCACACTCTTGCCTCACACTCTTGCCTCACACTCTTGCCTCACACTCTTGCCTCACAGTCTTGCCTCACAGTCTTGCCCCACACTCTTGCCTCACAGTCTCGCCATTCTTCTTCTCTTCTTTGCGTTCACCAGCTTGTAAACTCCGCCGGAAAGTTCTGGTTGTTCACTCGCTGCTGGACTTTCGTCTCCTTCCATTACTTGAATGTTGCGTGCTCATCTGTTTTACATATCTGCTTTACTTGTATGCAGACTGCTGTTTCCTCGCCTCTCAGACACTTGACTTTGAAAACACCCATGATTAGACAAATTACTTAGGGGACAGAGGATCTTTTCTCACCTTCTTCTCCCCCCCCCACCCCCCCACCCCACACCCCTCTCTAGCCCCCTCCTCTTTTTTAAAACTAGGGCCCCGGGTTTTTGCGAGGGGTAGTGTACTCAACAGGACGGCACACAGCAATATAACAGCATTCGGATGTGAATCCACCGGGCGTAAGTCCCAGAAACCCCGTTCATCCGTTAGGTTATATCAAGACCCCTGACAACAGCCGAGAAAGGGGCTTTAGAGTAACAAAACATTAGGTCGCATAATGCGGTGGTGATATTGGTCTATGTTATCTCCCTTTTGTCTTTATGCATTCCTTATTAGTAAGTAAATTGTACCCCACCACCAGGACATCACACAGAGCGATAAACACCCAGTGACACAAAGTACCACTGTTTGGATGAGGATCACCCGTGGAGAGGTCCCGGAAACCCCGTTTAACTATTAGATTATGTTAGGGCCCCGGTAACTGCCAGGTAATGGCTTCAAAATAACGACACGTTGTATCCCACAGGGGACGACTGTTGTTTCCTTACTATTTATCCAGTCATCTCCATAAGATACTTTTTTTCGTTATTTGAAGCCCCACCCTGGCGCTTGCTGGGGGCCGCAATATAGCCAAGCCATAAATATGGCCCAGTGGCTGAACGCGGTTTCTGGGACCTCTCCACGGTGATCCTCATCCACTTGGTGGCACTTTGTGTCATCGGGTGTTTATCGCTTGTGTGATGTCCTGGTGGGGTAGAAAGCCTGTCAGCCTGCAGTCAGTTTACTTACTGTTGCAAAGAACGATTAAATTTATTTTTTAACATGTTGTGCATTACCTTCATTTCTTATATATATATATGACGTTTTCTTCTCTTTTTTCTCCAGGCGGATGAATCTACGTTTCCTTACTTGCGCAGCCGTGACCATTACATCATGGCTATTTAATTCAGCAGGTTGCCGTCATGATAGTGACCATAAGTTGAACGCGTTATTTCCTTTAGTTTATTTGTGTGTCTGCTGATCATGTGATTGATTATCTTTCCTAATGTTTAATCAGTCCTTTTTTTTTTTTTTTGTAGAGGGTGAGTGTGTTCTGTTCAGTCAGTATGAAATCTACTGTGTAAAGGAAGTTGTTAATCGCATTTTTGCGTCCCCCTTCTCCCTTTTCCGTCTCCCTCTCCCCCTCTCTCTCTCTCTCTGTCTGTCTCTCTCTCTCCTTCTACCTATCTGTCTATCTGATTCCTTTTCTCCATTACACTCACACAGTCACATAAATGGGCGAGGCATGCGTGTAATTAACGGTTATAATCGCCGTTCACATTTATATGGCCAAGAAAACTGAATTATTTTACTATTAATTATAACTAATTACTATTATAAATAGGCAGCCGCCGCAGTGAAGCGGTTAGACGCTCGCCTGCGGATCGAAAAAGTCGATGGTGCCGGTCCTGCCTTTTTTTATATGACCTTGGCTTCCAGGTAGACCCAGCCTTCAGCGGATATCAGGTACAGTCTGGGAAGTAAAGGCGGCCGGCGTGATGTTGACCACATCATCCACCGAAAGGGGATTGGTCTGTAAAATATAGGTCTAGCCCTGTATGCCCAGTCGCCTGAAGTCGTGAAAGCTACAAGTTACTACTACTGTACTACAATGCTAGCTGCGCACGCATACCATTAACAGCGATGCGTCATGGAAAATATCACGTGGTATACTCTCTTTGGTGTATTCGCTACCATGCCTCGCTCCTTACACACACTCACTCTCACATGCATGCACACACACACACACACACACACACACACACACACACACACACACACACACGTACATACACACTCTAAGGAAATGATTCACACGCTCTTTTTTCGGACTTGCAGCCTGAAAGTCACTATTCGGGTGTGGGTCTATCACAAGAAATGCCCAGAAGCCTCATTCTATAAATGAGCAATATGAGGTTACAAAGTAATCTGTTGCCAAGTATTTCTCAGATTGTGATTGAACACCGATTGTTTTGTTTCCCCCAAACGATGGCTAAGGCAAGAATTGTGTCATTGTAACTTGAGAATTCTCATATACATATGAAATGGACCATTCAGTAAGTTTTGCAGTCCTAATATGGTTAATGTATTCATAGATCAACATTCGACACATCTATAAAACAAAGACATTGATTCAGTTACTTACGGGTTTCCATATATTTCGTTTTCCTCCTCCTCTTCCTCCTCCCCCTGCCCCTCCTCCTCCTCCTTCTTCTTCTTCTTCCTTTTTTCTTCTTCTGCTTCTTCTTCTTCGACTGCAGCTATTGTATTTTCTTCACAACTTCAAAGCGGAACCAATGTTTTAATGTCATGCACTATTTTTTAAAGTCTATTTAAATTTAATAAATGTGTATAATAAATCTTTTGCTTAAAAACAGTATTGTTTCAATCATAAAAGTGTTTGAAACGTTTGCTTTTCAGTTTTAAATACACCTCCTCCCGCCCACAAATCTGCAGAAATCTTAACTTCTTTTTCTGCGTTCGTCCTAAAAGGGGAGGTTGGCACGTTTCTTGTTTTTTAAAACAGCTAGACTACGATATCTATACTCAAACAAACCAAAACCATTTGTTTTCAGCAAATGCTCAAAAAGTTTCCTTTTACGGCATGCTTGTTTTATTGTGTCCAGGAATCCACACTAGGAGACTAAACTATAATTCTGTGACAGATTGGCTAATTCTGCACCTGGTGGTTTTAAGCTAGTGCGTGACAAGCTCACTCCTACCAGGGCTCTTTGGGAGCGAGTCAGTAGTGTACGCGCACAACTAGATCATTGTAGTCTGAAAAGAACAGTGCCGCCTGGGGATGGCGGTGACCTGGGTTTCTGGTCTACACGCTGTCAGTTTCTAGTAGCCTAAGAATTGAAACTGTGCTGGCTGCTGAAGATGAACGGAGCGCTTATGTGAATTTCCCAAGTGTTATAGTGTTGGTTTAAGTACTTGTATTTTTATTAATAATTATGATAATAATAATTAAAATGTTCCAAATGCCGATAAGACAAGAAGCAGTATCAATGTATGTGTGTCTTGCTTTTCTTCCAAGTATATAGTGTCGGCCAGATGCCCTAACCACTTCTCGCTGCATCGTTCTTTTCAGATATTGATGATCTATGCTAAGAAGAGATCTAAACAGAAATGGGTGTGATATTAAAAATAAAAATAATAATAATAAAAGCCGTTATTGTGTGGTAAATATGGTAAAATTAATTATGGACGCATCTTCTGTGATTCCAAAACTAAAAATAACATATTGGAGTTGGATGAATTCAACATCAAGCAGCACTAAAAAAAATAGCATCAACTGAAGCGCAAGGGGAAACAACTGCAATAACTTATCTAAACCTTAAAAAGATTACATTATGTCATCAAAGTGGTAACAGACAAAAACACCGCCCGCATACACAGCCTTTAATTAGTCACAAGTCTCAGCTAAAAAGTCTGTCTCATCTGTAGATAAATAAACATTATGTAATTTATAAATTCAGGGTTTTCGGGCGCGGGGGGGGGGGGGGGGGGGGGTGGGGGAGGGCGGGGATACAAGCAAAATATCAACACTGTTGTCTGGAGCTGTAACATGGAGAATAATTAGGGAAATTACTAATAAACTACAGACATTCATTTACTGGTGCCTGAAGCAGAATAGAGGGAATTGAATGGTATCATAGAATCACTGATGTAGAGCTCTGGGAGAGAACAAGTTCCAACGGACCAAGAGGTGAAGAAAAAACACGATAGGACACACGCTGAGAAAAATATCAAAAGCATGTTTTTTGCACTGGAACCCACAGGGGCATAGAAATAAAGGAGGACCCCCAAAAAAAAAAACACAGAGAGAAGGGAGTTAGAGAGGGAAGTTAAAATGATGCTGAGGACATGGGGAAAGCTGCATGAGATAGCGAAAGATAGAACCACTTGGCGTGAGTTGGTTGAGGGCCTATGCTCCATTAGGGATTAGAAAGGCAGAAGAAAAAGAAGCCAAATATCCCTCTTTATTGCAGAAGTGGTTGCTGCAAAGGTATTGAAATTGATAACCATTTACATGACTATTTAAAAGGAGTCTATCTACAGTAAAGTAAAAGTAAAGATCCCTTTACACCCCCTTAGGCGCATCGGGCATATGGAAAGAGCACCCATATGTTTACAGACCAATCGGCACTTCGTGGGTAATGTGGTCAGCATTGCGCCGGCCGTCTTTACTTTCCCAGGACAGCCCATCCTGGTACCCATTTGAGACTGGGTCGACCTGCGACGTCACATACCACGATAAAATTCCACGCAGCCCAGGCAGGTTTCGATCGCGGTACGTTAGATTACGAGTCAGACTCGCAACGCCTTAGCCACTGACGCCGCTTCTAGCTACAGAGTGAATCCTAAATAAGTCCACACCGTTTGGCGTTGATAGTCTATCCACAACCTTCTGTCTCTTGTTAAGAAAATAAGGGACCCTTTACCACGCCTTTAGGTGTATAGGGCATATACGGCCAGACCTATATTTTTATAGACCAATCGGCACAAGATGGGTGATGTGGTCAGCATCACGCCGGCGGCCTTTACTTCCCGGGACTGCACCTGGTACCCACTCAAGACTGGGTCGACCTGGGAGCCAAGGTCATTTTTGAAAAATAATGTCTGGCTCCGCCAGGGAGAGAACACACGACCTCCCGATCAGAGCCGAGCGTCTAGCCGCTCGGCCACAGAGACTCTCTTCTGTCTATTGTACTTTCAAGAAACTCTGACATAGATGATCTTTCATGCCATGATGTCAAACTGTACAGCATCTTCTTGCTCGGTCTCCCTCTGCCTCTCCTCCCCTTCCACTTCCCTACTGTCACGATGTACTCCAGTTTTCTCCTTCTCATGACATGGCCAAAGAATCTAGAGTGTCTCTTTCTGATGTGGGCAATGAATTCTATTTGTGAGTTGGTTTCTTTCAAGACATCTTCATTTCACATTTTTAATCTGTCAAGCGCCATAGTGGTCAGGACAGACATGTGATGGACGTGCAGTTTGTGAACAACGAGGCATTAAAGGATGCATTGGTTATGAAGGCATCCATAGTTGCATAACTGGCTAGAGAAAGAAAAACTCTCAGGTGTACGTTGAAGAAGGCCACGTTCTCACAAGGGCGTGCTGATTGATTGAGGATTTTATAAGAGTGTAAATTAATCTCTTGCAATTAATGAGGCAATATGGAATCCCACAGAAAATTACTAAATTAGTAAATTTGAACAAAGAAGACACAAACAATGGACTGCACAATTTATTGCCTGGCATATTTCGCTGTATCTCTGAGTAAACATGCCAGCGAAAAATGCCAGGCAATAAATTGTGCAGTCTATTGTTTATGTCTTCTTTGTTCAAATTCACATCGGAGCAACATTGCTTTGATTGAAATAGTAAAAGCAACATATAAAGACACGGAATTTCAAGTTCTTCACAAGAAAAAGGTAACAGATACATTTGGAATGAGAACAGGCGTGCTACAGGGATGTCTTTTGTCATCATCATCATAATCATCATGTGCTTTGCCGACTGGCGTGGGCGATCTGCCTCTCCACAATCTGCGATCTCCTGCAGCATGTATTAGTTCGTGTGCTGATACACCTCCATGCCATACAACAAGAATGTCAAGAATCTTCTCTCGTTGTCTTCCTCTATTCCTCCTTTTTTTTTTTTTTTTTTTTTTTTAAATTGTTGCTGGCCCGCCAATGTTTAAAAGTTGAAGAACCCTGCTCTAAGCATCTTAATCAGCGTTATAATCTAACTACTTACTGTACTCTTAGTTTTTGGATGCATGCATTTATTCAGCGAGTTAATGACTTTCTATCTGTGTGCACATTTTCTGGAGAAAAAACGTCTGACCTGGACTGTCATGTCATTAGATATGGTTAACAGGTTGGTAGAAAGTG